TTCGTGTTAAACGAAGATTAATAATGAATATAAATATAACTGAGCACGTGGATTGTTAGATAACATCAAAAAATATCTACTTCCATTTAATATTCATTTCGAGGTTAAATGTATGACAAACTTTTTTTTTAATACATAATAAATGTATTCATAAATTAATATAAATGCGTTTGAGCGTGAAAAAGGAATGTCAACGCTCTAACATAAGACTCATTAAAATATATTCCATTTTGTTAAACGAAGCACCGTTTCGTAGATGCGAATGACCGAGAACATATTAATATAAATATTATTGAAAATATGCAAGGCTTATGAATTATTTCGCGAACCAATGCGAGTCTTGTACATTAAACTCAACCTGATATTATCCTGTAGCATATGATGCAATTGCACGCAAAGCAATGGTATTATATAATTGAAGTTCAAAATCATTTTCATGCAACTACATTAAAAGAAAATTCATATTTGCTTACTAAAGCAGTAGACAATATTCATATGCGTAGCAAGGATATAAATTGACAGAACTGTCAAATTATTGGGAAATGTTCAAGTCATTTAAACGTAATGCTGCATCCACATATTCTATAACAAAATATAGTGATATTTTTTTTTTTTATTTGGTGCAATTGCAGTATTGATGTAATAATTGGTAAAACTGACTGACATTTGTATTTGACGTAATACAAATGTTATTTTATACCAAATTAAATTTACAATAAACAGATTAAAATAAATTTATACATTAACAAGACGACTTTTAAATTAGTATTAGTTAAATAAAATAACTTACATGGACTTAATCATTTGTTTGATGCAATACAGTTTGGATATTCCCGAACCGCACATATTTTTAACATTTTAAATTGTTTATTATATTATATCATTTCCATAGATACCAGACAACATAATGATTTTTGATAATTTTATGAATCTAGTAATAACTTACAAAAAATACAGTTTTTGCTTATTTCAAATTGCGTACGTACTAGTTTATACATTATGAATGAAAGACAAATATTTATAAAATTAGTATTTCCAATCACACGTAGGAATATATAATATTTTCGGAAATAGTAGTTTCGAGTAATTAATCTAAAAGTGGATGTAGTGTGGTTTTATTGTCGATTTTCGGTTTGAACAAATCGAATGGGGGTAGAAATTGGGAGAAAGAAGGCGAAATGAATGCACGTATTAAATATAAACGTGGATTAGCAAAGTTTTAATGAACGTGGCGAAATGTTAGACAAAATAAATGTTAAATCAGCGCTAAGCCGGTGCGAATCCCGCGCGCGATCCGAACCTTGACAGGTTTAGTCTTTGCCAACCAAATTATGATATACTTATGCAGTCCACGTTTTGGCCGACGTCCAACTTTCGGCAGAAGATTCGTGTGTGTGGTCCGCATTTAATTCCAATATTCGACCTTAGCGATTGCGGGCCAAAAATAAAAACGCACATCAATTAATTTACGCACTCGCCGCGCCGCGCACGGCTCTTGCATACAACTACGATTTTCACGTTAAATCATGAAAATGTTTACATTTGTGTATATACTGGTCGAGTGTATCCTACACTCGTTATAGGTTATTTCCATTAATACTACTGTCTACGTATTTCATTTTCATTTACTAATACTTGACAAGTACTTGTATATATATACGATATTAAAGTCAAAATAAATGACTGTATAATCTGTAATGTACTAGATATAATACTCGGAAATACTATAGCTAGTTTTATGTAGAATTGATTTTCTTGTAGTACTTGTATATACTTGTGTTAATGCAAGTTTTATAGCAATGCGTCATGTACTAAGTTCTATATACTTGTAATACTCAATTATATGTCTTGTGTACTTGTATATATATATTTATAAGTTACTTGGCATGTATCGCGTTGATAGTTCACTCGTTCGTGTTAAAGAATGAGAAGGGGAAATAGAAAAGGAAAGATGAGTCTGCGTGTGTGTGTGTAAAGAAATAAGGAATAAGATGTGGAAATGGGGTGCATTTCTCGCATCGGGCTCATAAATTTGTGTAATATATGTTCCCCTTATGTCCGTGTGTTCTTTCGCTCCGACGTCGCCCCATTTTTCTAATAATATCGTTTCAAATTTACCTGCATCAGATGTGTGTGTGGCGGCACGAGAGCGGCCCGAGTTCAAAAGCAACAAGAAGTGTTGTATTATTACGATCAGATGGCCAGAAGTGCCAGACGATTTATATATCCAAATGCAATACTCACTAGCCGTATCTCTCCATTCGCCAAAATTATAGCACGAAGGACAGCCTTTATATATTTATAAATCGGAACGGAGGACCACACACACAAAATAAAAAGGAACAACCCGAATCCCGACTACGAAAAACCATTAGCGGTCGCATCAACCAAAGAGCCGAAGAGGAGTCCGATGGACGAACCACGATTTGCAATTAGCGCAATTAAAACTATCCTAATTGCGAATTGCAATCAGGGAGGACCGCTCTTCCAACAACATTATAGCAATCATCTGCACTTTTTCCCACAGCGTTTGTTGCGGAGGGTGCATTTCCAATTAAGCCACCCTCAGCGCGCGTTGCCAAAATAAACCCCCGTTGCGACCCTCCGAGGAGGCCACGAAGAGCTCTACTTTTCCAGGGTGTAATCCTTGTGTGATATAACCGGTTGTAACGTGCAGACGTGTTTATATCTGTGACAACGTCCGCGAGCCGCGACGGCGTCCGGCCTCAGATTTACGACGGCGCTAACGCCAGCCCAAACGGCGCCGACACACTTCCCATCCTTCTCCAACGCACACCAAACCCACTCGCCCCGTCTCGTTCTCTTCCTACCATTCAAATAATTTCACTAATTGAATTTCACCTGCAATTCTCATTCTTTTTTATCATTTATTTCGGGGGAAGACTCACTTAATTAAATTACATCACATAACATGAATTACATAAAATCTATTACAAGAGTAACGTTTCACAACCGAAATAAACACAATCGAAAATGCATTTTCCCATTTAACAATCCATTTCAACAATATTCATACAATTTTAGTAATTGATTATCGTTCTTTTTCATCATGACGTCGCATCATATTATATAAATGAATTACAGTGGAACCTCGCTTAACGAGCAAATTAATTGTAAGAAATGACTAGTAAAAATCCTGAAATTTTAATAAACAACAACTAAAACCACATTTTACAATCTAATATCAGGATGCAAATAAATCTGTAATCCTTTTACTAATCTTTGATTCTCACCCACTCATTCGATTCTCGTCATTCAAATAATTTCACTAATTGAATTTTACTTGCAATTTTTGTTTTTATTTCGGGGGGAGAGATCTCTCTTAATTAAATTACATAATGAATCGCATGTTCAACGAGAATGTAAAAATAAACACAAATTTCTCATTTTTCGTTGCAAACTTTTATTATCTGGATGCAAATAAATTCCCAACCGGACGGCGCTTTTTTTTAGAAACCCAAACACCTCTACAATCGTTGCAATCCAAAATGCGCTAATCGCCTCGCATGTGAACTGCGAAAATCGCGTTATTTTAAAGCACAATTATAAAAAGTCAAGCTGATATTTGATACTTCCACCTTTCGTCAGACACGTAAATTATTCCACGTGCAGATTTTAATCTTTTCAATTTAAATTAAATGAACATTGACGTTAACCGCTTTATTAAAACGTTCATTAGTAATTAATTCGTTATTTTTTTTTAAAGAACAGTTGAATTTAATTAACGTTTGATAAAATGTTTGTAGTATTTTAGTTATTTATATATCTGCAACACGTGTTGCTATACTTTATATAAAAAAAAAATATACAGTTTCAATTACAATTCTATAAAATTTTAAACTTTTGATACGAAATATATGAATTTGATATGAATAAACAATTTTATTATATAATATGCATAACAAGTTACATAAAAGTTTAAAAACATAAAGAGGTACTGTTTTTACTATATTTTTACATATGTTTATACATTTTTTTATAAAAAGCTTTCTTACAGAATATGATAAAATAAGAGCAAATAAATGTTTATTTTATTATCGAACAGAAGATACTTAAACTTTATTGTCAATAAATAATATCAATGATGATTTTGGAAATTTATTTCAAAATTATATTTCATTGAAACGAGAATGCTCTAAATACGTATTTATAACCACTTAGAAGATTAAATCTCCATAATCGACATTTCCATCTAATAAAATACACATACTTTCTTCGCATTCGTGATTTAATAAAGTGGAAAATGCACCATAACAAGGATAGCTATGCGAGTGAGCTAGCTCATTACTCTTCCAGTTATATTATGTACATCACGTATCACACAACTCTGTAATTATATGTATATCACATGCTTTGATGCGATTATTGTTAATTTGATGGACTGCATTAATTTGATTGCAAATAATAATACAATTTTTTATTAATTAATTTCCTTATTATTTATATAACTAATTCATATATTATGATATTATTATGACACTTAAATAGTTTATGTTTTTGATAAACTGAATAAGTTTTTATATAATAAATCTGGACATATAAAATAATTTGACGTCAGTAAGTATTCAGAAAAGGGAATGGCTACAAAGTTCTGAATAAATATTATTCAAAGAGTTCCAATCGGAGTCAGTAAAAGTGGCATTGTATTTGAACAAAGGTCGGAACTGCACACAAAGCTGAAACTTTATAAATAAGAAGAAAAAATGAATGGAAAACTTCAGAGTTTAATTACAATGAGAATGAAAGAACTTTCTTGGATTTATAATAATAATTCAATATTACATTGAAATATATTAGATTTGATTTATTAAAAGTTTATCAATCTGTTATTCGGACTTTCAGAAAAAAGCTGTTATTATGACTTATGTTTATTTGTTTCATATATTGGAAATGTAATATGTATTAAGATTATGTAGTAGTATGGATGTAGGTTGACAAATGTGAAATAAAAATTGACGTTTTATTGTTTTGTTTTTCAGCAACTGGCTTGGATCCCACAAGTCTACTAAGCGCCGCAACCGCACCGGGACAATCAATCGACCTCTTGGGGGCCTTGGGGTTGCACAACAGCAGTTGGGCGGGCGTCACCCTAACGCCGGGGCCCCAAACAATTAGGCCAGCCTATTATCTGCAAGGTAATTAAAAAGTTTGAGCGAATGAAAAAATCACAGTCTAAACGACACCCCTTTTCCATACCCATCCCATCCCTGATCCGCGCTCCGCTCATGCTCATAATCGAATCAATCCATTCAAACGCTTCCGAACAAGAGCTCCTCGTAACCCCTATTTACGAGGCTTATTTGCATCCCTGTCTCCCTTCCCTCACTAACATCGTCATCATCGTCACCGCATCAAGTTTTAATTGATAAAGTTTTGTGATCCGTTAACCCGGCAAAGATCGAGTTCGTATTGTCCATAAATTGTTGCGAGTTATTACGATTGCAATGCGAGAAATTGTGTCTAGACGTGCCAGCATAAATTTCGGCCCGTTGCATTGCTGTAACGAGTTCCGTTCGTCTGCCAAAAAAGTTTTCGGGGCGCATTGATTTTATTTTCCTTTGGGGGCAAAGCGCTTAAAAATCAATTTCTGTTCTACTTACATTTCAGCGGAGACCTCAAGACCATTTCCCCATTTGAATTACAAAAACCTCGAGAACTCGACGAACGGATTTTATATACGTGGAACGGACGAACTGTTGCCAAGCGCATCCACCAAAACTTCCGATCTTTAACCAAACATTTAATAAGCCAGAACTTTCCGTATTCTCCAGAGCGTATTCAACCCAGATTTAAATTAATTAAAAGTCCCCTTCTTTTGTCGTAATAATTACCATTTTTTGAAACATAAGATACAACTTTTTACTTACATAATCGGTCTTAAAATGGTCTTTTATATATTACAGTGAATCAATATTCCCGCAGAATCAACATAATTGGTTTACTAAACAAGAAACGTAAATACATTTTTTTGCTATTAATGTTATTAATTTGTATTAAATTTTGATTAAAATTGAAATAAAATCGATTCATATAAATTGCTATTTCATATAAATTGTAATTTTCTCTTACAAAATATTTAATTTTATTTAATTTTAATTACTGTGATTCTATACGATCTTTGTTTGATAAAAGATAAGATGTTGAAAGTATTTTATGGCATCCTCCCTACTCAGCTGTTCGCAGTATAGTACACCCTACTGGCTCCAGTCCAAAAATATCTTCACGACTCCACGTTTTTGTAAATTGGTCTGAGTTTTTCTATTCCTTTGACATGTTCACAATCAGATTTACTGTATTATTTGATGGATTTATTCATAGATACATTACTTCTACATTTTGTCCATAAAATATTGAATCATTATTATTCTCATTAATTAATAACATTTATTAAGTCAACCGGCATAAAATAAAGTAAATTTTAAACAACGAGTATAAAAGAAAACTACTCAAGTTTTGGATGCAATATTGTGATTATAATATAAACAAGAACGATATTTAAATTGTTTATTATGATAATTAATATATTAATAATTATTATGATAAAAGTAGTTTTATAAATAAAAGTTAAACAGAAATAAATATTGTAATGTAAATATATATTTTTTATACAATGATTTTTTGAAATAGGCCAGCGTTAGCCAAAAGAGGTATCGATCGACTTAGTCTTGGTCTGTCTGTCCCAAATTGCATTATTATTCACTTGCTTTAGAAATGTGGCATTAGGCTTATAAATCGAACAGAGATATTTACCAATGAAATATTAAATTAAAATAGTATTTAGACTAAATTGAATAGATTCATAACTAAAAAAATAAAAATAATATATTTTATAAACTCAAATTTAGTGATAAATAATTTTAATTTGAAGATTTGTACTAATTATACTATTTTATTCAATGAAAGTTGTATTCCTATTAGAGTAATCAAACTTAATTAAAGCTAATTGCTGTGTGATTTCAAAACTGTGAATTATTTCTAATAGCTGATATATTATTAAATAAAGCAGCGTTTAGCAAAATCGATCGAATGCATAAGTGATTTAAGTGTTGTGGTCATTAACTATGATTATTTCACGTTTATCAATACATCATTTACACTATGTTTATTTTCATTGAAAAATGAAACTATTTTCTAAATAAGAATTAATGTAATACAGTATGTAAAGAAATTGAAAAATAAACTTTGATTTCAATATTTTAATTCAATTAAAAATAAATATTTTATATAATAAAAGATAGTCATGTATGTTAAGATGAAATTTTATACGAATATAGTTTAATATAGTTTATATATCAGTAAAGTATATGGATATTAAAAAAAAGTAATTGGATAAAGATGTTCTTCCTCATTTTTCCGGCGCTTTTATGTCTCATCATAATATCAGGGTTGTTTCAGTTATGCCTTTTCCGCGAGGCCTTCTTTAATGCCGTTTCATTACTATCTTGCGTCCGCTTAAATATTGATCAAAGCTGTAAGAACCCCATCCAACCCGATGTTTACTTTTCACGTTTGCCTTTACACTCGTCGGTCTCAACCCTCATCCTTTTCCTGTTAAACACATTAAATCCATAAAGACATCCACCCGCTTT